AGGGGGATCACCTTGTCGGTTATTCTTTCTTTCTATGACGGTTTTATTTTCAGTGTGTTATAAGTAAAATTAGAAAGTTTTGCCATGTTAAAGCAGTCCTAATTGTGCTTACAAGCATGTTTTTTTTAGAGTGTAGGGAGTTGGTTTAGTGTAGAATTGCTCTGCTAACTTCAAAAGTTTATCTCTAATAAAATTGGATCTCTATTTCACTTTTGAATGTGGTAGGAGGATAATGTTTAATTAGTAATTAGTAGTGTTAGCCGTCCCTGGTAGGCTAGTGGTTAAGGAGCAGTGTTCTCGCTGCTGCAGCCTGGGTTCGAATCAGGGTTGTGTCAGGGAGGGCATCTGACGTAAAATCGTGCCAAATGTCAACATGCGAGTCGTCAGTGTGACAATTTGCTGTGGCGACCCCTAAACGGGAAAAGCCGAAAGTGACTTTCAGAAATTAGTACTGATTAGTATTAGGAAGTGTTGTAATCAGATAAATGTGTTTATGAATGTTCTTTCCATTTCTCTGTACACGTTTGTTCTACAGTGTTCAGGAGTTCCGTAGTCTTTCTAACTACGGGAGGAGGGGATTCTGTAGTGGTTAAAACAGTATACGTTTAGTAGTTAATTTTTTGTTAACGTGTTATGGGATATATATATATATTGCATATTAGAATAGACTTCTAGTGTTGGTATAGGAAAATGCTTGTGTAAAGGCAAGGTCAGTGACTTTTGTTCTCTCTGTGCTGCTCAAAAGGGAAGTCGGATGGTCAGGAAAAGACAGTTAAGGGCTGAGGTAATGAGGAAAGAATGCCAGGAAGAGAGCGATGGGAATAAAAAGTAGCAGGAGGGTTGATCAGGAGCTTATTTTCGTGAAGACCCCGGGGAGAAGTGTCCAGACATGGTGGATATGCAGAGACGGCAAGCTGAGACCCAGACTCCCCTCACTGTGGAGAGGCAGTTGCGCCCTGGTGCAACTGCTTATGCCCTTTCACATTTTCTCATTGAGAGAATACAAAGAGCTAGGGGAAAAGCCGTTATCTGCATCCCACCTACACATCACAGAACCAAGTCAGCAGTCAGCCCCAGAGGTTCGTTTGACAACAGAGTGTACCATAGACGCAACTGGCGTGCCCCGAGGAGTGCTTGACGAGTTTAAAGCTAGAACTCAAATAGCTGCAGGGTTTGAATCTTTTCTTTCCTGGTGGGTCACAATAAATAAAAATGTGGATTGGATTAATTACTTATACTATAACCAACAGCGTTTTGTGAATAATACCAGAGATGCAATAAGAAGCATAACAGAACAACTAGGCCCAAATTCTCTCATAGAATGGCAAAATAGGATGGCCTTAGATTTGCTGTTAGCTGAGAGAGGAGTATGTAAGATGTTTGGCAGATTTTGTTGTACTTTTGTACCTAACAACACTTCCCTAATGGCATTATCACCAAGGCCCTTGAAGGATTAATGGCCCTATCCAAGGAACTGGCTGAGAATTCTGGCAACCCCTTCAACGGCTTCCTAGAATCCTGGTTCGGGCAATGGAGCAGCCTGATCGCCTCTGTGTTGGTCTCTCTGTCTGTGGCTGCAGCCCTTCTGGTCGTATGTGGCTGTTGCTGCATTCCCTGTCTGTGAGGGCAGATGCAGAGACACTGCTCTGACTAGGACCATGTACCAACAAGTCTGTGACGAGAACGGAGAAGAAGGAGATCACCATGAACCGGACGATTGGGTTTGAAAAGAGAATTCCCTGATTATGATCTGAGTGAACCATGTGTGAATGAAAACCTGAAAAGGAGTGTTTAAACAACGAGGTCCTGGGATGAACAAGATTAAGAATTATGCTGTAAATAATGTGTTTCTTAAAGTTTAAACAGGAGAGAAATGTTATAAAAATGATTAAATATGATTTATACTACTAAATACGTTTTAAACTTTCAGAACAGAGCCATGTGAAAAACTGAATGTGTAAGACTGAAGGACGTTTTCTATATTTCATGTGAAACTCTGTGTGCTGTGATATACTCAACTACAGAATGTTCCAGACGAAGAGAGACAACTGTCAACCACAGGCTAAACACGTGTTCCACAGTATGATTAGCTTCTAGATTGCGCTATCAGGGTGTGCCTTTTTACTATATATTATGTTGTGTGAAATGTAAAGTGTTCTTTTGTTTATGAGATTAAACAAACCTGTATTTTATTTTGGTCTTGGTATAGGGATCCAGGTGCCAATAGTGTGGTTTTGGTTGGTCTTTTAATCGGTTTTGCTGACAATACAAAATTATAGTGATCAGCCTGATCCTTTACTGCACCATATTTTTCTGTGATATAAAAATTTCATTTTTTTATATTTGACATTTATATAAGGGTGCATAAGCATACAAGAAAAAAAAAGACTGTCCCAATTATTTCATATAAATGTGGAACATATTGTTAGAAATTAATAATTCAGTCAGATAATTATAAACATTAATGTGTTTTGTGTTATTAATGCACTTAGTAATATCTGAAGTCTGCTCTAGTGTGCTTTGCTTCAAGGTTAGAAGACAATGTTAAATCTAAAAAGTGTATCTTGACATCAATTGTTTTCTTGTATTAATCTGGTGTTAGATTTATGTCTGAATGATTGGCTTAGTTACACACCACGTAACATACTGTACACACACATTGAGTTCTTCATTTGTTCTGATTAATGCTTGACGCATGCGGAGCATAAAATAAAAGAAGGAGACGTCGGACTGTCTCCAACTCATGATGATTCTATATCTGTTTGCACAAGGGGGTTAGCCCAAGAAATTATATAAATGTATTAGGCTCTGTGTTCCAGAGATCTCCCCCACCAGCCTCTCTGAGGGAGAGAGCCACCCGGGTGGTGCTTTTGTGACTTTTGACTTGTGGCTTCTTTTTTTAAATAAACAAGCACTAAAATTAAGCAAGTCGGACTCCGTCTTCATTCAGATCTGTCCAATAAAAGAACTGGGGTATTACAATATGTAATACTACAGATTTAAAGTTCTCATCACAAACTCAAGAGTGGCATTAAACTGGCCTTAAAAGAGATGGTGCAGACCAGTATCAATTTTAAATGTTTTTTGGGGCCTTGGAAAACATTTGAAAGCTATTAACCTTGCAGCAACAAAACTCGTCTTTCAACACTTCAATTTATCTCACCTGCTTTTTCCTTTTGTTCAGCTTTCAAATGCGTATGAGAAAAACTACAGAAGCTTGAAGAGCTTGTGTCCTGCTGGGGTTCAGGCACCCTGCTGCATGGGTGAGGTGTGTGAGGTTGTGAGGGCAGACAGTGTTGCCCTACAGTTTCAGGCAACTGACTATTTGAAGATGAGGAGGTAGAGCAGGGGAGATGATTGTCTACAGGGGCCACCTGCACCTTCTGCTGCACTCGAGAGAATGCTTCAAGAGACTGGATGGCATTACTGAAGGTGTCATGATGTTGGACGAGCTGGCGGACCCATTTAGACAGACCTGAGGTTAAGCAGACAAACATTTGAGACAAGCACTACTAAAATTCTTATAATGGATAACTATTGTCATCTAGTGTTCAAGTTGAGAGGCTGTCCTAACAAATGTTCACACACTGTAAAGAGTGCTGGGTACCTGTGATGTACTTCTTAGGATTATTCCTGTAACGGTCATCCACTAGAATTAGAGCACCCCAGTCATTCCTGTGGCGGATACACCTTTCAAAGGAAATTTGAAGCATAAATTAGACATAAAAGAGAGAGAACAAAATTAAATCTTCAATAACACTTTGGAGACTGTAAACAACAAATTTACCTCCCCAGGGCCTGATTTAAAGCTCTGTAGGCCTGAATCTCATACCAATGATGGCCTGGGAGGAGGCCCCTAGACTTGCAGTGTTGGTCATTGTACTTCATCTTCAGTTCCACCTAAAACCAAAAGACCAATTGGTAAATTATTATTCAATGTGTTATGGCATATTTTTTTAACATATTGCAATGTATCAATGATAAATAAAATACAAAGGTGTTTCTTTCAGACACCTTACACAATACAAATTCTTGAATGTAATGTAAGATGTTTTGCCATTTTGGTTAATGTTAATGTATATCCGGTGCCATCAGATTTATTTAATGTGCAAGCAGAAAAAAATTTCGTATTTTAAATAACAACATGGATGTTGCAAGCTTAGTGAAACAAGTTCCTGGTTGAAAATGGCCTTCAAATTCTGTTTTCTTTTGTTCTGCACATGGCATAAATGAAGGTAAAATGCCCCAAAACAGTCTTAAACTAGATGAATCACATTTTTACAGAACTTACCAGCTAATACTAACATAATACACTAAAAACTTGCTCTGGAAAACAATATGGCACACCTGTAAAGGAAGGTTCTTTACAAAGAGATATAATTGGATTAATGTAGACTATGAAGAGGTAGTACCTGCCCTCACAGACAGATGAGTTCTGAAACAGGAACCACAGGCTAACCCTAACCCTGCACAAAAATGCCAGGGAAGCATCCATCCATTTGCATCTGTCACTGCTGATTTTAGTACTAACATTTCAGAATTGACAAGTGAAAAGTTCATCTGGTGTCTGATGTGATGCCATAAGAAGCAGTCTGCTGAACAGGACTAACTGCTTTTGACAGGTACCGTGTGTTTGCCCTGAGCTACAAAACACGGGGCATGGCAGATACAGCCTGTTCCCACATCACACAATGCCACCATGGCCTGTCTGGGCTTGTGTTCATAAACAAACAAGCAGAGTCACAGGAAATCCTAAATGTCACCCCAAAGTTAGACTATGAGTAATCACAACTCACGTAAGAAGCATTCAAACAACTGAGCAATACTTGCCACTGTGGAAAATTTTAACACTGACAATAGAAGAGTTTTATAGTTTCTTTAATGTAAACCTGGAAATTTCAGGAGTTTAAATCATAGGTCCAAAAATACAAGAGTTGCAAGCTGTCAGTGAGAGGCAACTCATATACACAATGTCTCATATATGCTGCCAACTTCATGGTGAGATGTTTGTCAGTGTACAAGACAACCAGATCAGTTAAAGAATCCACTTCTTAATGCAGAGTTTGAAGAGAAAGGTCAGTAGCATCGAGCAGGCAGTGTCATCCAAATCCAACCAGTCTATTTCAATGTTCGAGCCAGCACATCAGCCAATCTAATATGACAGGCTGCATATGTGAAAAAGCCAATATTGGCTGCTAGCAAATCTCACAAATGTGCAAGAAACCACAAGCTAGAAGGGCTTAGTTAAAATGTCAAGAGATCACTCACTTGCTTTGGCCTTGTCTTCTACAGCTACCTGTTCATCCCTAAAAACATATTTGGCCACTAGGCATGATTCGCAGCTGATTGCATTTGTTTGAGCTATATTTTCCACGGGCTGTGTGTGTGTGTGCGCGCGCGCGCGCATGCAGTACTGTCAGTGCGCAAACCCCTGGCAGTCTGGGGCATCTTGTGCCTGTCACTGAGATGGCAGAGCACCTCATCTGCCACATGTGGCTGAAATGACAGCCGAGTTCCTCATCTTAAAGACAGTGTCCACGTGTGTGTGTGTATGTGTGTGTGTGTGTGTGTGTGTGTGTGTATATACATACAGTCTCACTAGGGACTCAGACAATGAAAATGCCTTTCCAACATGCTCAAGAATTAGCCCATACTAAGGTAACACACAGAATCCTAGTTATTCTTTAATAGTTGCCATATTACACAAAAACCTAGCTGTTCACTGAAAACATGAGTAAATAGTTATGTCAAGCTGCTAGATTTTACATATATGTGAAGGCTAATGCACAAGTTCTGGGTGGTAATTAATTGAGTGCTATATCAAATACAGGTGTAGGAGTTCAGTCTCAACCTCTGAGAAACATTTTTTATTATCTCAGACCTGTCTCTGTCTTATGGGTGTCCTGAATCTGACTTGTCTCATTCTTGTGGATATTTTGACTCAGACTTGTGTGCATCTCTAGGGTATCCTGACTCTGAATTGTTTTAGTCTAACTGGTATTTTGATTTGACTTGTCTACACCTTAGCCACTAACCTTCTCACCTATAGCCTCTCTCATTTATGTCCAGCTTGCTTTGTATATACAGTATTTGTTTTGATCAAACTATAATAACCATGAACAAAAGTGAGACCAAAATGTAAACAACATCAGTAGGGCAGAGTTTTATTTTGTTTTATTTTTGGTTTGCCTTCAGATGTTCTCAAGCCCATTTGGACGTTCTTGACTTTATCTCAAAGCTGAATAAACTTACTTCAGGCTTCAGCCTTGGTGTCAAATCTCTGCATGTTTTTGGTACCAACCCAAATGTATGCAGAGCCTCAAGTATTGCAAAACACCATATGTTATTCAGTATACTGCATTTCTCAGTCTGAGGTAATTTATTGTTTTGTTGTAGAACTTTTTATTTCTCAAACAAAGGTATTACAATAATAACTTTTTAAAAGATCACACTCATAATAATGAAATGCCTGAAAATGTCTACATTCTGCATCTGAAAAGAAGATTTTTATCTAAAGCTGGCCTGTGGTGCAGAAGAGGACAATACAAGTGGTGATCATGTACCGTTTTATCCAGCATTCCTTCGATGTCTTGAATGTGCCTGTAACATCCATCATCCCTTCTTCTAGATGATTACCGTGAACTCCTCAATATTCTTCCAAAATCCCCTTTATACTTCTGTTTTACATGCTAGCATAATATCCCCAATATCTCTGCCGGAGGCAGGAGTTGAAGATCTCTCTGACAGGGGGTTCTGCCAAACATTCCCAACAGACCCTCACAATACGTTTGGGTCTGCCGAGTCTGTCCAGCTTCCTCCCCCGCCATCGGATCCAACTCACCAGGTGGTGATCAGTTGATAGCTCCGGCCCTCACTTCACCCGAGTGTCCAAGACATATGGCCAGAGGTCAGATTAAACAACCACAAAGTTGATCATCGACCTCCGGCCTAGGGTGTCCTGGTGCCATGTGCACTGATGGACACCGTTATGCTTGAACATGGTGTTTGTTATGGACAAACTGTGACTAGGACAGAAGTCCAATAACAAAACACCACTCCGGCTCAGATCGGGGGGGCAGTAAGAAGAAAAAACAGTTTTTACAAGTTACGTAGGTAGGGAAGAAAAGCAGCAAAAGGCCATCAGTCACAAGGAGGATGGGACTGTGTGACGAAAAACTCACTGCACAAATAGAGACAAGGCAAGTTTATCTGTACAGCATATCCTGTACACATGATGTGTACATTTTTCTTATTAATGATTTTGCTAAAGTTTTAAACCACTACATCTGGCACTTATTGTATGATCAACATATACAGAAATATAGTTGAAGTGTCCACAAGGCCATGATACCATCTAGGAAAAACTTGTTTATTCTGATGAACAAAGAATATCTCTAAATAAATGACCTTTTTTCAGGTGTTGAGGAGTAGAGAGACTTCTGACCCAAACCAAGTCTGCTCTGGCTTTGCTCAACAGCCAGGCCCTCTGTATGCTAATGTACTTCCCTTTCAGTTTGACTTGATTCAAACAACTGAATACACATTTTTGAGCCTCACACCTCTAACTTCCAAGACACCAAGTCTAAGAAATTCCAACAAACCTAAGACATTTGGTCTTGATTCTTCACAGGAGGACTCAGATGCAAAAGCCATCTACCCATTTTATCTAACTTCTTTATCTACAAGACAAACCCCTTTGGAACCTCTTTGGATACATTAGTATCAGTAACCGTCTTCCCCCATTGTTTTATGACTCCCATAAAAAGCCTCTGTTCCCTCTCTACTCTTACTCTTTTAACAGTGAAAATGTTATATTGGACTTGAAAATATAAATAACATGAACCAAACTGTGAAAAGTGTTCAACAAAGTTATTGGAACCTCTTACATTAGTATCAGTTTGACTGTTGTTTAAAATGTTTAACACTCAGGAGAAATGTTCATTCTTCAATCAATCTTAAGACAGACCACTAGCGACACTTGGTGACTGAAGTTGTATACTACATTTCTTGTAAAGTAAATGGTAAATGGTCTTATACTTGTATAACACCTTTCTATGCTTTTACAGCACACTCAAAGCGCTTTCACACATTATTCGGCCATTCACCCATTCGCACTTACGCATTCACACACCGGTGACATCACCGGGAGCAACTGGGGGTTTAGTGTCTTCCTCAAGGACACCTCGACATGTTGACTGGACAAGCCGGGAATTGAACCGCTAATCCTCCAGTTAGGAAACGACCCGCTCTACCTCCTGAGCCACAGCCGCCCCAACAGGGGTCTCACAATAAGATTTATTAATCTCAACATTTTAACTTCAAGTGTTTTTGATTTTTCCATTTTACTGACTAAGCTTATGGCTAACTATCCATGGCTAGCCTGACTTACTGCCTTCTCATAAATGAAAATCACCGGATTCTTTTTTTTTCCCATCATGTATCATTGTGTGTAGGAATGCACAGGACAGTGTGGAGAATGAACTCTCACATGATGCTGAGGATACCCCAGTCATCAGAGCAGTTACATACATTTAGTGCATGCAGCTCTGGGAATGCTTCCTTGTAACCGCTGACATGTTTGACAGTCATCAGCTGCTGTGACTTTGCCCTGCTTTGGTTGCAGAGACTTGGCTGGTGGGGTAGGGTAGTGCTTGTACTGAGGCTGGTGCATGAGAGCTCTGGTGGATCCTCTGGCTGAGAACCAATGGACTGGGAGAGTTTACGTACCATTTGGATCAGGGGCAATAATCTAAATGCTTTTCAGACTGAAAACTGATACATAACAAGCTACTATTGTAGTCTGACAAACACACAGTGTTTGACTGCTTGTTGTGTCCTGTTGCTTTTCTTCTTTTGTCTCTCCTCTATCCACTCACCCCAACCGGTCGAGGCAAAAGGCCGCCCACCAAGAGCCGGGGTCTGTCGGAGGTTTCTTCTGTTAAAGGGAGTTTTTCCTCCCCACTGTGCTTGCTCAAGGGGGATTTGTTGGGTTTTCCTTCTGTAATAATAGTGATAACAGTAAGGTCTAGCCCTTACGCTGTAAAGTATCCTGAGATGACTTTTGTTGTGATTTGGCGCTATACAAATAAAATTTGATTTGATTTGATAAACTTGTGAAGGAACAAGAGCAGAAAAACTGAAGCAATAAAAATACAAAAGCTATCTGATGAGTTTGTCCAGAATGTCTAAACAAGCCTACCATCACCACTACTGCTGCAAGTGACAAAAAATTGTTCGTTACTGCCTGACTTTTGCTCCACCTGACCAGCCAGAGTATAGAAGAAAGATTTGACATGGGGTGTATTTGTTTTCTGTTCAGTTCAGTGAAACATTTCTGTAATGTTTGCGTCTGAAGTAGAGTTGTGTGTTTGTGTGTGGCCTGGGGCAGAGCTCTGGTTGGGGGTGATGGTGCACGCCCTGCGGAGATGCAGCCCACCCCAGCACCACACTAGATGCATGCCCAGTAATGACTTTGTTTCTTGTATTAAATGAATGCTAAAAGGCAGTGATGACCAGTGACGTGCGGTGAGATTGACAGCTGGTGAGGCACTGACTCTTTTACAGTCAGATTTACAAATACAAATGAACCATTAACAAATTGTCTGTTAACAGACAATGCGTTATGTTTTATATCTCATATCAGCATTCTTCACACAAACGTGACCCATATTTAATTTGAGGTTAAAATTTATTCCAATTGAGCTTATTTCTAACTAGAAATAATAAAAGTTTATGGTCTTACCTTTACTTGTACACGAAATCCATTTGTCAGCTGGTATGTATTACAAACCCTTTTACCGTTCGAATCCAATATTAAAACAAATGTTTTCAATAAAGAAGATCCTTCTGGACAAAAATGTCCAGACTGTCTTTTTTACTGGGTTTTATGGTTAATCTGGAGCCTAAACACGTTACAGAACTACATTTTATACATTATCCAGATTATGGCAAGGCAGAGCATATAATCAGAGTGTTTGAAAGCATTTTATTTGTGATATATAGAGGGACAGCGACACACTATTTGCATCGCATACAGTTGGTAGGATTACATACACGATCCACCGAGAGGCACAGCAAAGTGCTGCCTCATCGCGCATCTCCTCCATGTATTTGAACGGGACATATGGAAATTCTGCTATTCTTTATTGAAAAAAAATCCTTCAACATCGGATTCGAACGGCAAAAGGGCCTACAACACACACCAGCCGACAAATATTAACATTTATTATATTTTATGGGTATTTTTCAAGATTGACATGGGAGGCTTTGCCTTACCTGCCTCCCCTGACCGCGCGTCACTGCTGATGACAAACTGGTTACCTCACATACTAATAACCCTACTTCATTTAAAAAAAAATTCAGTATATTGAGGCAGCCAGGTAACTTTTTGGTTAAGGTGCATATCATATACAGTACCTACAATGTCCACGGTTTGACTCCTAGGGACCTTTGTTACATGTCCTGTCAGTATCTCTAATACCACTATCAAATAAAGGCAAAACTGAAAAAAACATTTTCAAAATGTGTCAAACACATGTAATAGCCATGAATTTATGTAATTATTACTCTTGAGTTTTTGTTAATTCATACCGTTTCATCACAGCCCAAAAATATTCCATTAACCAGGGGCTGTGAACTAAATCTTGACTAGTTAAGCCAGCTACTTGACTCTTTTAATTCTACTTACCTGAAGGTCTTTGATGTTTGGGAAGGGAATTCCAATGGTGACCACTGCCCTGGCATTGTCATCTGTGAAGTCTAGTCCTTCACTCACTTTACCCCTACATACAGCAATCAGCAGTGCACCATCTATAACAAAACAATTAAATACAGTATACACAGTGTTTACATAAAGTTTTCAGACCTTGTTAAGTTTTCCACATTTTATGTTTACAACTCATCTTAAAATGGATCCAATTCTTTTTTTACTTTCTCATATATTTACGCACAGTAGTTCACAATGATAAAGTGAAAACAGGTTTTTTGTGAATTTATTGAAAATAAAAAACTAAAACATCCCATTTATATAATTATTCAGACCCTTTGTTATGACACTTGAAATTGAGCTCTGGTGTATCCTACTCCTATCAGTGGTCACTGAGATGCTTCTACAGCTTGAGTCCACCTGTGCCTAAATTAATTTACTGGATATAATTAGGAAAGAGACACACACACACACAAAATTCCCTAATCGCCCCCCACTTCGGGGCAGGCTTGTATTCCTTCCTTCAAGCTCGGGTCCCAGAGGCCTGGGAGCTTGAGGGTCCTTCGCAGTATCTTAGCTGTTCCTAGGACTGCACTCTTCTGGACAAAGATCTCAGTTGTTGTTCCTGGGATCTGTTGGAGGCACTCTCCCAGTTTGGGGGTCACAGCCCCCAGTGTCCCTATTACCACGGGGACCACTTGTGCCTTCACCTTCCACATCTTTTCTAGCTCTTCTTTCAGCCCTTGGTATTTCT